ATAGATAGATAGATAGATAGATAGATAGATAGATAGATAGATAGATAGATAGATAGATAGATAGATGGATGGATAAACAGACAGATAGACAAATGGCTGTCTAGTCTTTTTTTAAAAGCCCCCAGTGGAGGAACACCCACAACTTCTGAAGGCAATTATACTCAGTGGTATAAGAAAGAAATGACAATCAGTTGGAGGAGAACAATGATTAAAGTATTGGAATAAATTGGTGGAGTAGCAGGAGGGTAGGTTGGAGTAGTGCTGGAGCAGAATGCTAGAATAGAATGGCCTGGAGTAGGAATAGTTTGGTGTTGGTTGGGATAAGAATAGGTTGGAATAGGAAGAAATAAGTTGGAGTAGAAATGTTGTAGTAGGAGCTGAAGTAGGTTGGAGTAGCCATTGGAGCTGGAGGAGGTTAGAGGAGGTTGGAGTAATGTTAGAGAAGGAAGAGGACGGACTAGTGTTCCAGTGAAAGGTGTTGGAGCATTCAGGAAGACGAAGCCATTGATTAAAGAGCCGGAGGGAAATGGGGGGACCTAATCCATGGGGCAGGGAGGGATCCGGCCATTGTAATTTCCTTCATCAAGCACAGGTGGACCTCCAACACACCCAGGAGTAGCGGGGCCACCAATCTCAGAGGATCTGCCTCTTGTGTCTTTGCCAGGTGCAAGTGTAACGGCCATGCCAGTGAATGCATCCCTAATGAAGAAGACCGACTGGTTTGCCTCTGCCAACACAATACGACTGGGGTAGACTGCAATATGTGCCAGGCATTCTACCAGGACCGTCCCTGGGCAAGGGGCACCGCTGAGTCAGCCAACGAATGCCTTCGTAAGTCCTCCTGGCTCGTTTTAAAGTTCGACTCTTACAAGCGGCTCATTCCCACCAACTTGTATCCGCTGACAAGCAAAGCATAGCAAAATTGTGTGTCGGCGTCGAGTCAATCACAATGTAGCCAGAAAACCCTTCAACACATCATGATTTCATTTCTTAACATATGTCATCGTTTTTAACTGTTTAAAACTTTTTCCAGTATCGATACCCCTTCTGCCCGTTTGTAACTTTCAATTAACCGAAATGATGTATCACCAGGCAACAATTTTTGAATCAAGGTACTTCATATCCACTAACTTAAAGAGAAGAAAAAAAAAAACTTTAAAAAACCCAAGACTCATTGCTCCTGTGGGAATTGAAATTTCCAGGATGTTCAGTCCAGTCTTGTTCGCAAAAGTTGTATCCACTGCAGCATCCTGACTGTTCTGTGGTTGTGACTTCCGGCACTCCTTGCTAGCTTCCCATATGAAATGTCAATGGGGAAGCCAGCAGGAAGTCAAAAGTCGTTCCTATTGCTCTCTTGCTGACCTATGGTGATTATCTCTTTAGGGAAGGAAATATTGACAAAGGGTGACCCAATGCTCATAGATAGTCTAATACTATCTTCAAATGCATTGGTACCTCGGTACTCGTCATTAATTGATTCTGGGAGGCACAGTGAGTACCAAAAACAAACATTTTTTCCCCAAAAGGAGTAATGCAGTGAGTCAGAAGGCAGCCGACACCAACAAGTTCTGGTTTTTCATTGAATACGATGAGTGTCTGGGCAAAAGTTTTATGTCAAAATGTATTGAGTCCACATTTGATGAGTTTCAAAAAGAGTTGAATACCACTGTAAAAGAAACAGGATAATTCCCTGCCATCAAGGACCTTACAATCTGTAGTACGTCAACAAGGCTTAGCTTCACGAGAATAAAAGCAATCCATGATGCCCTTCTCTTGTCTCTATCCAGCATGCAACTGTAGTGGTAGATCGGACGAATGCTATTACGACTGGGAACTCTACCGGCGCACCGGGCATGGTGGTCACTGTGTGAATTGCTGGGACAACACTGCCGGACCCCACTGTGAATACTGCCGGCCAAATTTTTATCGTTGGGATGATGAAATGGCGTGTCAGCCCTGCAATTGCAACCAAGCAGGTAGGGTGGTGGGAAGATGGCACAGTACTTTATAGTACCTGGAAAGGTGAACAGCCAAGGGGGAAATAGTAACATCATTAATCTTCCACAAGAACTCCAACCCAACAGAAATGGAAAACAAATTCTTTTTTATTTGCATGTCATAGAACCCTAAGCTTGGAAGGGAACCTGGGACCTTCCAATTCGAAGCAGGAAACTGAGTAATGCTGTCCAGACATTGCTTGAAACTCTGTAGTAGTGATGGAGCCTCTATACTTCAAGAGGCAGGCAACTCCTTTTGCCTTTTTTCTGCTTGTCCCTCTTTTCTTTCTTAAATGTGGGGGGGGGGTTCCACATTTAATCAAGACTGGATGGACATTGAAATCTAAATTGGGTAATCTTTTTGCTACTGTCTTCTGATTATTGCTCCCGTCTTCTTTCCTCTGTCTTTTTCTTATTCCTTCTGTCTTCTCATTATTGCATCTGCTTCTCATTATTACTTCTGTCTTCTTCTTATTCCTTCCATTGTCTTCTTATTCCTTCTTGTTGTGGCCTGCCAATGGCTAGCAGAGCTGGAAGCAGATTCATACAGTGAGGAGGTTGGGGAGGATCCTGGGCCAGTCCTGGAATCTGGGGAAGGCTCTGATGATGAGGGCTCTGTGTCGGAGGCAGATGGGGGGCCAGAGATGAATGCCAGTTCTCAGCTGCCTTCAGAGTCAGACCTCAGTGGGGCAGAGGAACAGCTGAAGCCTGTTCCCAGTGTGCGCATGTGCAGAGTGCCCAGACGAAGGGAACATCTAAAGAACAGGGGTCGACTTGGCAGTAAGGCCACAGGTGGATGGTGAATGGCCCCTCCCATAGGGAATAAAAGAGGAAGGAAAGGGGAGTGGACTTTGCAGGAGACAATGAGTTCATTCCTGCATTCTTGCCAAGTATTGCGGCGTCTGAAATACATCGGCCTGGCCATTCTCCAAGCCTGATAAAGGTCAGCAATTGTGAACTATCTTGAAAGATGGTGGGCGAGGAAAGACTTTGCTGGAGAGGGATTCACTGTCAATTAAATAAAAGGGGTTTACATCGGGACGAGGACTCGGCTTTGGGCTGTGAGGAAGCCGAGGTCAGGACTCTTCTGTCTTCCTAGGTTCTTTGAATCCTCAGTGCGATGCTGCAGGGAAGTGTGAGTGCAAAGCGACAGTGACAGGCTGGAAGTGCGAGCGATGCCAGGAAGGCTTCCATTCCCTGAGTGAAGGAGGGTGCAGGTGAGTAACAAGGAAGCAAGAATGGAAAAGTCATCAGCTCTTTTGTGGAATCTTCTGCAGCTGCTGATATGAAATCGGCTGCCCACTTCTGGCTTTGTTTTTGCAGGCCTTGTGCTTGTAACTCCGCTGGCAGTCTCGGGGTGTGTGACCCCAATTCAGGGCACTGCAGGTGCAAGAAGAGAGTGGAAGGGTACCTGTGCAACAGGTAAGCGGAATGTTTGAAAACTGAAATCTCTTCTTTTTCGATCTTCATAAATAACTTGAAAGAATCTGTTGTTTTCTTCATGTGGTTTCCATTGATGCTGTTGAGCACAACAATTTTTAAATATGTAAGTAAATAGACGCAGAGGCCATCATTATGAAGGTCCCAAAACATCCCTCATTGCATTGCCAAACTTTGATGGAAAAAGGTGAAATTTTGGGAGGTGCAATTTAGAATTTTAAAACACCCATGAGAGAATGAGAATGCAAGTGCTGAACATCGGAGATACGATGTATTTTTTCCTATCTAATATTTCCTTCCATATTTTTTCACCACAATACCAGATGTTCTCCTGGTTGTAAGAGTAAATCGTGAAACTCTCCCCATAGCCGAAAACATTTACATTTAATTACATTTAACAAATTGTGAATGCTAGACACTGGAAGTTTATAAGACTTAATAAGAAGTTTATAAGATGTTGGATAACTCTAGGCAGAAGGTTGGACTGGAAAGCCTCCAAGGTGCCTTCCAACTCTGTTATTCTATTCCATTATATTCTATTCTATTTTGCTCTGTTCTGTTCTGCTCTGTTCTATTCTATTCTATTCTATTCTAAATAAGCACACCAAGTCCTAAATTAATAATCCATATTTGAACAATAGCTGGGGATAGGAAGTGACCAAATCAAGTGGCCACAAACTATTTTCCATCCATCCCTTGTTAGAACAACGTCTTCTAACTCTGTGGAGCTGTCCAAGGTCCTGAAACATGGCACATTTCACCAGTTTAAGCCATCCACTGATCTTTCTTGAGGACTTTCTTTGGTCTGTAGAGGTTCTCATTGAAATTTTGGGACCTGGATTTTCCCCAATAATAGCACCCACATACACACTGCCCCTGTATAGAATGAAAGAGGGTTACTACTCTCAGTAAAAGTTGTATGTCAGGAGAATGATTACGCTGAACTACAGGTTTATGAGATCCTTACGTGATGAAGACTCAATGCAGAGAAGAGAGAAGACAAGTGGTGGATCACCATCATGGACTCCCATCAGAGAGGCCCTCAGTAGACGGGGGTCAAAATCAAAGAAATAGAGAATTGGATCAAATAGTTAAGAAAACTGTTGGACAATATTCACCATTGAATAGTTGAACTAATTGTTGACATCCAGATTATTTCTGGAACATCATGAACTACTTAATGTCCCACATTTTGTAATGTCTTACAAAATTGCACTCTCATCCCGCCCCTCTCTGTCTCCCTGTCTCTCTATCTGTCTCTCTCCCTGTCTCTCTCTCTCTCCCTCTCTCTCTGTCTGTCTGTCTCTCTCTCTCTCTCTCTCTCTCTCTCTCACACACACACACACACACACACAAACACACTCACACACACAAATAGCTGGAACATCTGGTCAGGGGAAAAAACAAAAACAACTTCTTTAACATTTCATCCTAAGAACATAACATACTATTGTTTTCCATTTCATTTTTATGGGCAAGTCGGCTCCCTTCTCCACAAGCAAAGTTTCATCTCCTCGAGTGATTTATTTTGGAGAAAACCAAAAGGCCTTTTGCCCCGGTAGGAGCTATTCTCATTCCAGAGGCTGAAGCTTTACTTAGCCAACAGTTCCCTGTTTGTTGCTTTTGTTTAAAGGAATCTGAACAAAATGCCCTTGGAGGAACTAAATCATAATAAATCAAGTCAAATCTCCTGGGTGATGGAGCATGTGGCAGCTCTCAGAAGAGGAGTGCCAAGCCAAATTGAAGATCCGGTGTTTAAAGATTGTCCACTTACGTTGTTGTTGTTGTTGTTGTTGTTGTTGTTGTTGTTGTTGTTG